TATTAAAAAAAATTAATGTCATCTGTGCTCTTACGATCATTTGGGAATATAGATATATATGGTTTTAAAAATATCAGAAGAAAGGTGTATTTAATGTTTGATAAATAAAGAGACAATTATTGGTCTTTTTTGTACATTCGTAATGATTTTATTATAGAGTGATTGGACTTAAAGCGTACTAAATAGTACTAATTAGTACTAAATAGTGTTGATTATGCAACAGGAAACAAAGGAATTTGTATAATTTATCACCTATTTTGTAGTATTTATATTTCACGCATTTAGTGCAAGCACTCTGTATAAAATTAGCAGCAGTACAGATGTTAGCAGAGTGAAGTCATTAAACCCGTGAAACAAATGATAGTCGAATAGACACAGAAGAAAACAATATGCAATTAGAAACCTACTAAGGTGTATTTATGCAATATCTATTTCACGTTTTTTGTTTGTTTGTTTGTTTGTTTTTTGTTTTTTTTTTTGTTTTTTTTTTTAACTTCGTTGTATTTCATTAAGTTCCGTTTACACTTTCTGGCAGCAACTTGGAGGCGCGCGATTTTCCATTGCCGCAACAATCGCAGGGCTGTTTACACGTACGCTTTTAGTTGCCTAAAGTGGCGATTATCGCGCGACAATTGCGCTGCAAAAACCGCAAGTGCAAACGGGCCTTGGAATACAAACACGAGTGAAGTAAAATAGATATTAGTATTGTTTTCTTTTGTGTTTATTCGACTATCATATCTGAATATTCAATTCAGTTTGTTTCACGGAATTACTGCGGTTTTCCGTTTACTGCGAACGTTAGCGGTCATTTCCTGTTTTTGCTCCCGTCAATCAAAATTCCGAAGTAAGGGAACTAAGTCCGACAGTCCGCCATGTTGTTTGTTTCTTGCGGGTGAAATAGAAAAAGATGCTTCGTAAGTTTACCTCTGATCTTAGATGGAGAATTGTTTTCATGCATGTCGACGACATTCCCAAAAAACTATCTTCCAAGTACTGTCTGCTATAAAGATATTTGTGCAGAAATCTACTGGAGATGTTCGAGATGGCGGACTGTCGGACTTGGTTCGGTTTTATGGGAGGAGGCACGAAAGCAGTTCGTTTACTTCGGAATTTTGATTGACGGGAGCAAAAACATCAAATGAACGTTAAAGTTCGCAGTGCTAGAGTTCGCAGAAAACGAAAAACCGCAGCAATGACTTCACTCTATAATTCTATAATGTTCTGTTGTTTATGTTAGCACTATTTAACAGTAAATAGTGTAAAGTGCTGCACACATTCAGCCTGGTTTCCACAAGACATAAACATAGTAAGCTAGCCTTCTCCACAGGCATCACTAAGAATCATGGGCCTCCTGTTTTTGTTTTTTGTTTTTTGTTTTTTTTGAGGGGGGAGGAGGAGGGGGAGGAGGGAGAATGGGATCTAGAGATTGAGGGCGCGTGACTCTTCTTTTTCATTTTCCTTTCTAGTCAGTAGTTTCTAGCGGGTAAGACGTCCCTTACAAAGGAAGCCCAAAGGAGGAAAAAAAGGTTTAATTGATTTGAACTATTGCGCGCTCTTAAGCAGTTAYATTACCATAGTAATTGGTTTACAATTGTATCCTCACGTAMGCATTTGTAATTTCATTTTGCYCTGGTGATGGACAAGTTGTCCGAAAGAAACAAAACTGAGTATTTAAATAATGAATCCTACGTACGAAAAACATTATCAACAAAAAGGTTCCTGGGAAGGAGGGCTGGGAAGGCATAAGCCGACAACAAAGGCATTGTCATAGTTTACGTGAATATATTTAATGATCAGAGATTTACAGTTCATATTAACTGTACAGTTGTACACACGGCTATTAGGGAAAGGACTTCTTGTGAAATAGGACTTCGTATCCAAATAAAGGTTTTGACTGGATTTGATTTGAGGAATCGCGAGGCAAGCGTGCATCAAGCATAAGAACAAGCAAAGAGAAGTACCATCTTAATCTCTTCTTAATCCCAGACTCTAATCCCAAAAGCTATTATTATTTTTCATCCCTTATGCTTATAGCGTTGTGAAAACCAGGCTCAAGGATCGGGATACAGTATACCTCTATTTTCGGATCAGCGTCAAGCTGAGATCTAGGTTAGCGGCGATATCTCGTCGATGAAACTACACTAATTCTGATAAATAGAACTTAAAATCATTGCAGCTTAGAGATGCGATTCTTATCAATTTAAAACTCGGAAATAAAACAAATCTTGCTTCTTCGTGCCCATCAATATAAACGGGACRTTTACCGCAATAATAGGTCAAAATCTAGACGCTTTAACGGCGTGAATTCGGGCTACAATCTCCTTAAAAAAAGACTTAGTCATGTCGATTTCCTACGTCTTTAGTTCCCTCCCTACTGTTATTTTCGCGCTACAAAAAGTCATCATTTCCCGGGAATGCTTAGCGGAGCCATCCACACAACTTTGTATCAAGGGTAGGGGAGCAAGCGATACATTTATTTTGCGGATGATTGAAGCTAGTATATATAGTATAGAAAAATAGACTGAATATTCAAACTATCATTGCTATATAGATGTAGCTGACTCTATAYATTGCCTAGTAGGCATGGAACCGTTGGTAGATATTGAATCTCTGGATCAAGTGTACGAGGGTCTCAATGGGGTGGTACGAATCACGACTCRCGGCTAMAAATTTGGCTATTTCACGACTCACGACTAATTTTTTCGAATCACGGTTAACTAGATTACTTTCAGAAATTTTTGAAATGAAAACAACGTTTTTCATCACTTTTTCATGTAATTTGTTTTGTGCTAGAGATACAGTGAGTGTGGGAGCACAGTGTCCCTTGTACGTTACAGACACTCAGTTATTTTAATTTTTTATTTCAAATGTCAAATTTTGTCCATGCCCTGACTTGTCTGGGAGACCTTGTTGGTAGGTGCGATCCATTAGAATTTTTGGTGGCGGGGGGAGAATGGAAGATAGTGGGAAAAATTCCTGCACGTCCCGAAGGGCCGAAAAATTTGTTTTTGCAAGTCAAAATTTTGAAAAAATAT